TTTTTGATTCAGTATAGGCTGTTCTACCCACGTATGACAAAAAATGCGGTAGTCGCCAAACACCCTGTATATGTATATATATGTATATATACATATATATATATATATATGTATTGGATCATGGTAGAAATACAACCGTATATGTATTTCTACCATGTATTGGATGTGAAATAACTTGATTGCAGCGCGTCTGCAGATGGGCTACTCCGACTAATGCAGACGAATCCTGCACTGGCTGATAAATTGATGCAGCTATCGATGCAAAATGATCAGAGCGACCAAAGAGAGTTAATGACGGAACCCTCGAGGCCTGGAAGAACATTCGAGCTATTTTAATCCTTGCGATCGAACCGCAAACGACGTTTTAGTGGGGCGTCCATCTTTATAGGTTCTTAGACGAAACATTCGATATAATATCCTTGAAACATAATAAACGTTCTTATATTTAGCGTTTTGTTATGTAGACGTCTTTCCATCCTCGTAATTTCTACGCGACGAAGTATACAAAGAAATAATAAGTAATAGTTTCTTTCTTTTTTTCATCTGACAACACATAGTCGATAATAAACTCTGTCGTAGAACAACGTTCAATATATGTATATACATACATACATTGATAGTATTGTATAGTTATTTCTTTTTTTTATCATTAAAGATATATGTGTGTAAAATCGAAGAATACGGAAATGAAAGTAGATGGAAAAATAAATGTACATTTCTGTTTAGAATATTATTCTGTTATCTTCCATCTCCAAATTAGAATATAGCTGCAATATATGAAACATAACGAGATATCTTGAATTGCTGTATCTCAAGCCTGCCTTAAATAAATAGATTCTTGGAAAATATAACAATATTTGAAATCTTATATTCTCTGTTTGTATTCCAAATTATTGCATCATTAACTTTTATTAATTATTGTTAATTATTATTAATTACATATATTTTTTATAATACAACGCTTATTTTTAAAGTTATGTACTACAACATATATTGGCTGCATTCGGGAACGTCGATCGGATGCCTCCGATGACACGGATTCATCATCTGTCCTTGTTTAATATTAAATGTTAAACAAGGACAGATGATGAATCCGAGGGGAGTGGCACTCAATTGGACACGGCTCAATTGGACACGAGCCACTCACAGCGCTTGAGACTACAAACCTCCTAAGCACTGATCGTTGTGATTGGTGGTGTCCAATCGAGCCGTGGTCAATCGGGATCACCCTTCCGAGGCATCGGAGGCATCCGAGCGACGTTTTTGAACGTATTATCTTATAAGTCATATATTCCACAATAAAACAATTTACAATCACTTTCTCAATAATTTAATGCTTAAATTGAAAGATAAAATAAGGAAAATAATTTTAAAGCTATTTTTTTGCTAATAGCGTTTTCGGCCCGATCGGGTTTGCACCAACCTGGGTTGGATTAATCTTTCCTATTGGTTGATATCACACGCTCTACCAATAGGAGAGCGCAAACCGCCATTAATCCAACCCAGGTTGGTGCAAACCCGGTCGGGCCGAAAACGCTATAAATGTGTGTATGTTTAAAAAATATCTTATCAATTAAGATCCTATGGGCTATGAGCATAGTAGAATTGCAGCATTTTTCGCTTTAATGTGCACCGAGTGCGCACCAGCTCTGCCAGTGAAAAACGCTATTAGACAGTTTGACCCATTCCGACTTCCAATGGATGCGCAATGAGTTAAAAGTAGTAAAGGGATTTGTCAGCCAATCAAGTTTTGAGCTCATTTGAAACTTACATGACTCGGGCTGTGGTTAAAGTCTCGCTACAAATGCTTTGAAGCGTTTGATGGACCAATTAGAAAAAAGAATTTTACAAACGGACCAATTAAAAAATGCTTCAAAGCGTTTGAGCATCGCGTTGACCGTACCCTCGTTCATGCTGCAAATGAGCTCAATTTCTGATTGATCAAAATCTCAGATCACGTAACGAGACTTTCGCCAATGGCTGGACTCAACAATTGAGTGAGCGCTGCTAATGATGTATTCTTTTAGATCTAAAATGCTGATTGGATGATCTAAACGAATACACCAATAACGGGTACAGTACCTATAATGAGAGTCAAGCATAAGGGGCAACGCCCTCGTGATTGGTCGCCGCCATTTCTAGGCGCTTTCGACGTGTTAGTGAATCTGTGAATTGATGTGAGAAACTGTTTCATAGGCTGTGTCCCAAAATTGTTTGCAGCGCTGCGAGCATGTCGTCATAAGTGCATGCTACCAATAGTGTTCCAATTTCATAAGCATGCTTTTTATGCAAACGCAGCTTTCATTTTGGAACGATATTTTCAGTGCTGTCAGCATATAGCGACGTCAGCGAAAAGAAACAAGTAACCTAGAAATATGGAGAGAAGCATACAGAAAAAATTCGTATTTGAAACTATTATAAAGTTAGCACTTGATTCTAGTGATGAAGAGTCTAGTGATTCAGATTCAGAATTAGTGGAAATTATATATAATTATTGCGAACGTCAACCAAGAATACCGAAGGTACAAATAAATGGAAACCAATTTGCTCGAAGCACAAAGATCGTAATAGTAATGAGGAAGTTAAGGGGATCCTAAAGTCCTGTATTACCGACTAAGGCCCATTTCCTCCAAAGTGGTTCAGTTCAGAGTTCTTGTGAACTGCGTTCAACTTTGAACGCAGTTTAATTTTCGGTCAACTTATTTTACTTTCCTTCAACTTTACCTTCGTTCTGATCAACTGAACGTATATCTAATGCGTGCTAACACTGCTAACTCGAATTGTATTTAGTAACAAATGATGTGATTGGTGGACAGCTAAAGAGTGTATCACATGTCATAATAAAAATCTAACCTAATTATAATCAACGCATGGTTTTTCGTCGTCAATCAGTTATTTTGACAACAAATTGTTATCGTTGTATGTTAAAAAGTCTTGTTGCTGATATATATAGATCAGTATAATTATTCAAATATTGTATCAAATATTGGAATATATAAACACAGATAATCGACAAGCAAGAGCAATTTCTAGAAGTAATTTCTTAACCTAATTTATGGTATAAAATAGATATTATATAATCTCTTGCATTAAATAAATTAAATTGTTTCTTTTCTGTGTTTAGAGTCTCTTTATAAAAATAGATATACATGTACAAATGGACCAAGCAAATAAAAAAGAAAGAACCAAAAATTTTAGTGAATCTGAAAAAATGCTTCTTATCGAATTAATACAAGAAAGATGTAAAATATTAGAAAATAAAACAACAAATAGTATTTCTATGAAAGAAAAAGAAGATTGTTGGGAGAATTTGTGAATAAATTTTATGTCTCGTTCTAAAGGAGTTGTACAAACTGTACAGTCTCTAAAAACATGTTGGGAAAATATAAAGAAAAGAACAAAAAAACAATTTGCTGAGGAGAAACAGGCAATTTATAAAACAGGTTGTTACTTGTTTGATATATGTAAACTTTACATAAATAAGCAACGATATACTTTAATTACAATCAAATATCTGTAATAAAAAAGCTGTGTATTTTTGTAGGTGGAGGACAATATAAGGCTATAAGTGATCCAATAGCTGAACAAGTCCGAGAAATAATAAGACCGGCAGTAGAAGGCCTATCGAATGATTTAGATAGTGATTGCATTGCAGGATTTGATAGTATGTATAATACATTATATTTTATTTTTATAATGTTTATAATTAAGTCCATAAAATATTTTTCATTTAATAATCTTACAATTAGTTATATGTAATTAAATTATTTCTCCTAATGCATTTTATTGTAATGTTATTTTATTTATATTACAGACGATGTTGAAGCATTTGATGAAGAATGGCTACGTAAAGCAAGTGAAAATGTTATAGAAATAACCGAAGATAATATAGAAGATGAGACTGATGGCAAAAAAGACAATGATGAATCTGATAAGGAGGAAGACGTATTAAACGTAATTAATAACGAATAATATTATTTATAATAATGTGTAAAATATTATATGAGCGCTGTGTAATCCTTTGTATTTCATTGTTATTCATTGTTATTTTACAGTTTCTTCAAAAAAACAAATTAAATTGGAAAAATTGTAATCCCCAAAAATTACAAACACAAATTAGCACTCCACTCAGAACATCAACAAACACAAATAAGTCTGTGCCACTTATGGATTATTCAGCTAGTACTAACCAAAATAAAAAATCAAAAGAAAATGTTATGCCATCAGCACTTAAAGGAACCATAAAAAAAACAAGTAATCAATTAAAACAAAAAAATAATGTTAATAATAAAAAATGTGATACATTAGCAGATAGTAAAACAGAATTAGTAAATTTAATGATAAGTAATGGAAACGAAAGACATGAATTTGAAATTAAAATTTTAGAAACACTATTGCAAAAAGAAAAATTGCAAATTGACATAATGCAGAAGGAATTAGAATTTAAGACATTGATTTTAGAAAAAGAACGACTAAAATTTAAAAACGTGTTATAAACCTAATATGCATATTTATATATTTTTTCTTTGTTATAAGTAAAACATTTGTTATAAGTAAAAGTTTTTATTATTTTTAAAAATAATAACAAAATTCTATTTGTCAATTATTTTAAAATTCGAAAGAAATCCTAAAGTTCGAAGGAATTTTTAAAATTATTCATTCATTATTATTCACTATTATCGCTATTATTGTTATTATCATCAATACATACTATTATTATTATTATTATCATAAGTCTTTTAAAAAACCAAAGATGTTATTCCTGAATGAATTTTAGAGAAAGATTACTTTTTGTTTTTTTTATGCATACATATGAGATTATGAGTGGAATAGTATTTTACACTTACTTGTATTTTACTTTACTTGCATAAACTCTCGCTACATTTATAACCTCATATATAGTTACTGCCAAATGATTTTGATTTGTTTTGCTAAAGAGGCGTGATTAACAAATAAGTTTATTTATTTAACATAAATATCATTTTTGTTATTGATACAAAGTTTATATGAATAGTTTGCTCTATAAAATAAATATAAATATAATAAGTATATTATATTATTAATGTTTTATATGAGAAAAGCACAATATGTTTTCAAGAAATACAATACATTTATTTATATCGAATTAATTAATATTACAATAATATAAATGCTTATTTTTAAAATATAATACTTTATTTCAGCCGATGTTTTCTTCGATTCCTTTGTCAAAATTTACAATAAACTGTAACAAACAGAAGTGTAATTATTAATATATATTACTTTTAATAATTTATAAAAGTAAAATATGTATATATTGTATTATTTTTCTTTGCCTCTGAAAATAGTCGTTAATAAGTATTCTTCTGTCAGCTGCATTATCATTATTTCTGTAGTCTGCATTATCAGGATTTATATTGCCATAATTGAATATTTCGTCCCAAGGTGCTGGAAGATTTAAATTAGGATCTTCAGGTGGCTCTTCATCTCCATTTTGACGAGCAACATTGTGTAAAACAGCAGTAGCTACTATTACAGCCATTACTGAGTTCAATTGCAAACGTAGTCCTAAAGCTAAAACTGGAAAACGTCTTTTCCAAATTCCAAACAGCCGCTCAATTATGTTTCGAGTACGTATATGCGATTCATTGTAAAGCTGTTCAGCAGGAGTTCGTGGATTTAATAATGGTGTCATTAAATATGATTTTATAGGGTAACCACTATCACCTAATAACAGTCCATCTCTATGTATTCCTTGTTCAAATGTACCACGCAATTGACTATTATTAAAAATAGTACTATCGTGTGTTGATCCAGGCCATCGAGCTACTACATCAGTAATTTCTAAATTACTATTTGTCACAACTTGCACGTTCAAAGAAAAATATCCCTTTCTATTTCTAAATAGTTCTGCATTTTCAGTACCTACAATACAATAAATAAAACAAGTTTAAAACCTTATAATAATTTCCAGCGTTTCTATTTATATAGTTTACCAAAATAGGTATGTATGATGAAAATATAAATAAAATTATGTATTTACCAAACGATTGAACTCGAACATGTGTACAATCTATACAACCTACAACTCTAGGAAATCGAGAGATTTTATAAAATTCCAATTGTTGTTTTTTTATTTCATTATTTGTAGTAGGAAATTTCATAAAACGTGCTCGAAGTCTGGCAATTGCGTTCGTAACACGATGAATAATTCTGTGGGCACTAGTAGTGCTTACTCCAGCAAAATCACCTGCAGATATTATAAAAGATCCTGTTGCATAAAATCTTAATGTTAAGAGAAGTTGCTGCATTGGAGATATAGGATTATTTCTGCAAAAATAAATATTTATATTAATCAGTTATTAATAACTATATGATATAAGGATAATAAAATAATAATAAAGATATACATACCTGTTTGATCGAAATATTAATACTTCTTCTATGTGGTTTAATATTAGAAGAACGCTGTTTTTGTTTAGGCGAAATCTCATTTTAAATTCGATATCGTCCAAATCGTCAAAATAGTTCATGCGTTGTTTAAATCTTTTGGGTCTTCTGTCGATATATCCCGGTAAAAAATTTTTCATATATGAAATATACATAAATACATATAAATAACATGTATAAATATTTATAAACATATACAATATTATAAATGTTTTTACCGGATTATATCTTCATCGTCGTCAGATGATGATAAAATATTGTAATATGCCATAATACTTGTTTTTTTGTATATTCTATATCAAGAAGACAATGCACATAACTTTGCTGTGGTAGTATAAAAAGACATGTCGATGTGCGGCGCGCGGCGCGACATCTAGTGATTTTTCGGAGTTCGAGCTTTGCTTTAGGATCCCCTTAAGGAAGTTAAGGAAACAGTATATACCATTAATGTTTCGAGGATAGTCAAAAACCAGTTTGTTCATAGATGGAATCAGATTTGTAGATTGTTAAACAAAATTTTATGCAAAGCTAAATGATTGTATTGAGAAATAATGTACATATTTTGTTAACGCCTATTGTATGTGAATAAAATAAATTTACTTTTTGATTTCCTCTTGTACATAGGTTATGTCAATTTTTGTATTTGAATTCGAAATAAGAATAAATAAGTGTGACTACAAAAAGCAGACTACAAAAAAATTATAAATCTACTCACTACTTCTTGCTTTCTTAAGGTATATCCACACAAACTTGCATAGCCGCATAAACGTATGCATAAAGAAAATTATCCAATCACATTTTATGTACGACTTTAAAAGAAAACTGGGGCTCTATTCTTGAAAAGAAACGTATACGAAAGTCTAGGGAAATACTATAGTATACGTAACGTATACTGTAACATTTCCCTAGATTTTCGTATACGTTTCTTTTCAAGAATAGAGCCCCTGCAATTGGATAATTTTCTTTATGTATATGTTTATGCGGATATGTAAGTTTGTGTGGATATACCCTTAGCATCTTCTACAGAAACACTGAGTTTATACTCAGTGTCAGGGCTATCGCACATGAAATGCATAACAGAGCATAAGCATATCATAAGGCCGCTAAACCAATGAGCACCTTATGTAAATCAATATGGCGACATTATGCTAGATGCTCATTGGTCCAGCAGTCTTATGTTACGCTTATGCTCTGTTATGCATTTCATGTGCGATAAGGCTTAAAGCTATAGCACATGAAATGCATAACAGAGCATAAGCATAACATATGACTGCTGGACC